CTGTAGTGGGTCGGCACCATGATATTTAGACAGAGCATGTGAAAAGGGAGTCTGCCCCACCAATCCAAACCAATTCCAGTAATTTTCCAAATTGCCAAGATTTTTAAAAGACATTTTCAGTGATAACAAACCAGCCTGGATTTTGACAGAGGAGGATTGGAATCGACAACAAAGAACTAAGGCACCATAAAAAAAATCAAGAATCACCCTTTGATGCACATGAAAGGAAGCTCCTCATAGTGTCTGTGCAGAGACAAATTGGACCAGCGTTGGCCGTTACTGTCATGTCAGCTCACCAATTCTTTTGGGTAAAATGACTCCATAGACTTCTCTTGCTCATGTCAAGAACATTTCTGGTCCGAGTTCCTGCAATCATACTAAACGGTAATTTGAGCACTCATCAACTATTAATTACATGTAATTTACTCATACAATGCACTTTTAAATGCCTCTTCCCCCATGCGTCTCTAAATGACCATGGTCTTTCAAATAACTAATTTTGGCACTGGACTAAGCATTAAGTACGAAGGGGCAGCTGCAAATAATCTGCAACGCACATTGATTGATTGTTTGTTTGGGGGATTACGCAAATAGTACCACTCGGTTTGCACCCCAATCACAAAGTAATAAAGTTTTCTGTTCCACGAGAATAAAATAGAGTTAAATATATGATATGTGATAAAACACTGGCAGGTTCACCCATTTGCATAAGGACCTACAACAGTATTTAACATACTGCATGGATTGGAGGAGTCTACCCATTCAACACCTTTTCAACAAAGCTGACAGTGAGCCAAATTATTTACATCACGGGCATCATTTACTGGGCCTCAAAAACTAACTTACAACTTAATTGTGCGTGTAAAAATTGGGCCACAGAAGCATAACCTCCTACAACAATAACCGGAATGGAACAAATTCAATATTCCGGACCGGAAACAAGTAAGCACTATACCTTGCGATTAATAACGAAAAGCGGCGATGTCCACTCTAAAATTCTAGTTAAAATCCTATGATCAATAATTATATGAGTAGGTATTATCGGTATTTGGCAGAAACGCTGATCGTGCACCGACTTTCACTGTTTGTTTACGTTTCCATAAAGGCGCGGGAAATGCGCGGTGGGGGTGGGGAGGAGGAGAGGGGTAGGGGACGCGGCACGGCAAAGGAGGAGAGCAATAATTACGATATACTCACCGACATATCGTGGTCACGGGATGTGATTCTTTCCTGGGGTAGGCGATCCCGCCTCGCTTGTCCAGGATGTCGATCCTTTGGGGATGCTTCCCGTCCCGCGCATCGTTGTGTAGCTCCAGGCGGCAACGCCAGGGAAGTGCCAAGTGACAATAGTGAAATGATCAGGATAAGAAACTATTATGGGCGATGTGCTATTAATTATAATTATATTTGGCGACTTTTAAGAAATATGCACCAGACCGTGTGTACACGACGTTTGGAGCCGAATCGTATTTGTCGTGGGAGTGTCATCGGCGTGCTCGGGAGGTCCCCAATGACGTCCCCGGGAACCCGGACGACATCGGCACTACCAGATTTGGACTCATCAGCGTGCGAGAAAATCCCCGAACACGACATTTCAGTCGTCCTGGTCGTTCCGACGTTGACGGTCGGTCGGTCGGTCGGTCGGCCAAACCGTATCTTATTTTGACAGCCCCCTGGGCTGATCCAGGGGTGGCGTGGCGTGCGAGAATCCCCAGAGCAGGTACGTAGGTGCTGTGCGCGGCCGAGGCCGACCGAGCGCCACCGCGAACATTGGCCATGGGGAGGGAAGAGGACTCCTCATAGGGAATAATATGGTCGCGTGTGTGTGAGAGAGATAGAGAGAGAGGAGTTCGGTTCTCACTCAGAGGTGATCGGAACACAGGATCAAAATCTGGTGCATGTATTCGCATGTGTTGAGCGTCTTTTCCTCCTACCTTACCTAACTGCGTCCCGGAAAACCAGGTGGCTGGATCTGGCCGGATAATTTGCCCCGTCCTCATGCCTATCGAGACTGACCTGACCACGGCCCGAGCGAGTAGGCAACCCGCCGACACGCGTGGCATGCGGTTCGGTGGGCGGGGACAATCAACCCTTCCGGTACATCTGGACCTGGACTTGGCCGTCGAGCAGCAGAGTGGTACGGCAGACGCCGGCAGACGCCGAGATCCTGGAGCAGGCAGCCTTCGGAGGCCGGGCGGGGCCGGGGCGGGGCGGGGCGGCGGAGTCAGTTTAACGGCTCATAACCCCCGTAAGTGCCAAGAGGTCCGCGGGGACGAATAAGGCGCGGGAGTTGCGGGGATATAAGGCTCCTCGGGGGCCGGCCGCCGCGGCGGTGGGTGGGCGCGCCGGGTCCACACCACACGCTGCACACAATCCATCGCGCCCCGCACACAGGGCGCCTCATCGTCGGCTATGATTATTATTGCACGGGGTCAAACGAGCAGGAGGAAGGGGATGAATAAATTGGATTTCCGGTTTGGCGGATGCGCCACGCCGCCGCGCTTCATCCCGTGATAGATAAAGCATCATGTCAAGTCGAGTCCCCCCCCCCCCGCCAAAGGGGCTTTACCTTCTCATCCCCTTATCGGCTCCCAAAGAGAATACTACACAGAGCGAGTCTCGTTCGTCGTCTGCTCCTCGAGAAATCGAATGTCACCGCGCGGCTCGTCGTCGGCGCGGCGTGGCCCGTGGCGCGCAGCACACACTCCGTACCTCTCCTCGCCGCCGTCTAAGTTATTGATTCCATCCATCCGTCCGTCCTGTGGGCTGCTCGGTGACGCGTCGCGGGCTCGAGCCTATCTCGCGGGGGAGCGGCTGAGAGGACCTATTGTGCGCTAGGGCGAGCAGCAGCACCAGCAGCAGCGGGCGAGATGCTGATGCTGCCGCCGGTGACCTACTTTCGATTTTCGCCGTCGTCTCGTCCTCCTCGTCGTCGCGGCGGCGGCGGCGGCGGCTCGCAGCCGGTGAGCATACAATCTACATGATCTACATTCTCCTTCCTGCTCCCCCTCGCCGCGGAGCAGCGGCGGCCGGGGCCAGGCGTCCCCGAGGGACCTTACACCCCCACCCCCTCCTCCAATTCTGCCAGCAGTGTAGCCAACCTCCCCGAGTGTATGTGTGGGAATGTCCTGCAGGTCCGCCTCGTATCTGCAGAACACACACGAGCGAGACTTTGGCGCCGGCGAATGCCATGACGAGTGGGCGCGCGTGGTGTTACGAGTTTGCGGTCGGTCCACGCAAGGGATCGTCCAGAAAGTACGTCCGCGTTTGTCTCAGATTCATTCGACTCAACGCGGGATAGCTCGGCGCCTGCGAGACTCGGGGTAGGCTAACCCGCAGTACTCGCATGCAATGCAGGCGAGATGTTGCCTAACCGTCCGGCGCTAAGAGAGCTTGCACGACGAATGTGACGGACGTACTTTCTGCATGATCCCAAACTCGGCGCGGGAGCTCTAGTTCAAGCAGCCTCCTTCATAATTAATCTAAGGGCCTACTGGATAAAGAAGATAAATTGGCCCATACAAAAAATACATTTTATTATTGCTGTTCATTTGCAATTAAACATACAAATCAAAATTCAGATTCAAGGTATGGGGAGGAATCCCATGAAATGAGAGAAAGCAGGTAGCTATGGTAATTGCATATTTTCCGATATTTTCAGAGAAATGTCCCTCATCAATGAATCGTAACCCATAACCCATCATACAATCAAACCCACTTAGCTACAAAAAGTTAAATATAATTAGAGTAGCAAACAACTGATGGTAGTAGTTTAACGAATATGCATCAATTCTTTAAATTCTGATCTGTGAGCGTCCTCATCTTCGCCAATCTCATATTCCCAATCCCATTCCCACAGCGTGTTGTGGCAGCCCTGCGCGCAGGACCCACAGCGCTCGTTCTTGAGGCAGTACGGTGTCGTGTTCACGACAAACTTGAGCGCAGGATTCAGCGACAGCAGGGTCTGCACCGAGTCCTTGTGGAGCCAGTCGTGGGCGCAGCGAGCGGGCAGCCACCTCATCGGATACAGCCTGAGCTCCCGCAGGGCCGGCGCCGTCTCCGGCGTGATGGCCAGCAGCAGCTCGTCCGGAGGGACATACACGGTCAGCTCGATGTACCTCAGGGCCGGCAGCGAGGGTAGCGCTCTGACCAGCGGCTGCAGCTGAGGGAGGTACTCGACCCCGTCGTCGTCCTCTTCGCCATCCATCTCGTTCTCGCAATCGTTGTCGATGTCCAGCACCTCCACGACGGACCGTCCCGACCACGCCAAAGCCTCGACCAGAGTGACCCCGACGTCATCTGGGCTGCGCGCAGCGGGGCTGTACTTCAGGGCGACCTCGCGGAGCTTGGGGGCGCGCCGGAGCAGCTCCGTGGCCCCGAGGACTCCTGGTCGCATGTCGGGTGACACGTGCAGCGTCACCTTCGTCAGCGACGAGGCCAGGGACTCCAAGCCGGGGAGCAGCGAGCAGGTGAGCTCCCTGAGGTTGGGCATACAGGCCGGCAGTGACCCCGTCGAGGTCGAGATGAAATAGTAATCGGATTGGAACGAAAGAAGGACCTCCTCCAGGGTAGCGGCGTGCCCGGCCAGCACCAGGTCGATGAAGGGCTGCGACTCCGAGCTGAGCTGGCAGCGGAAGTACTTGAGGGACGGCCGGGCCACGGAAGTGTGGAGGCTCGCCGTGAAGAGTCCGCCGCTCATACCATCCCACGAGACACACAGCTTCTCCAAGACGGACGTGGACGCCAACGTCCCGAGGAGCATGGTTGCGTCGGAAATGGGCAGATTGTTGATCCCGACATGGACGTCCTTCAGCCGGCCGAGCGCCTCCTGGTTTCGGACGATGAGTGCAGCGTGTACGCCGCCGGCCTTGGGCACGCGAAAGTTTAGCCGCCCCACCGCGCACCTGGTCGTGGCGTACAGCGGGAAGTGGTGGCCCTCTGACGACATTTCGAAGGACAGGTCGTCCAGGCACGGCGCCAGGCGCAGTACGCGACACAGCTTCTTCCGGAGGTCGCTGTTGAAGGCTTTGAAACTTTGGTGCCGCCACACGAAGGGATGCAGGGCCAGGGCGCCGAGCCGCTTGCACACGAGGCGGCACCTGAACAGGTCGTCGACGTCCACATGCCGAAACACCTGCAGCACCACGTCGTCCGGGAGCAGATCCATCGCTAAGAAAGAAACAAACGACATCAAATTTATTCAACGGCTAGTGGCTTGTGTTCGTGCCCGTTTGTAGCAATAAGCAAATATACTATCAGTGAAGCGTTGCACTCCGCTATCGCTCCGTGCAACGCTTTGGCATATAAGGATCTGAAGTCCTTCGAGAGCTAGCAGACATATGTCATTTTATATTGGGGTGCACTAGCCTACATATTTACCGCTATCATGCGGCACCATCGACATTAGGAGCTGGAGTTCGGAGAGAAATGTCTCTTTCTTCCCTTGGCTTTCCCCGCGCGCGCCGCAATCGACAGTCGACCCTTCTGACCTGGGGGCTAGTGCCGCAAACGACCTTACGCCCAGCGACATACGGGGCCGGCGCCTCACCCTCTCTCTAAACTAAGCTCAGTTGAAAGTGAAGAAAGGGGAGATGGGGCATTGTAAAAAAAAAGTCTAAAATTTTACAACAGATTTAAACTGTCAAATATTAACACATTTTAAAAGTGTAACTTATTTTTGTTATTGTAAATTGTAGGGTTAGTGACAAAGAAATTAGTTTAAGCCAGTTATTATTGCAAATATTAAAATTGTTGAAAGTCTCAACTATTTAGAAAGCGAGTGGTAAAATCCGTGTGCCCGCCCTCTCTAAATTAAGACCTGCCTGTAGGTCAACCTTTTTCAGTTGCATTAGTAAGACCACAACGTGTTGAGATTCAAGGAACAGGGTATCCCGAGAAATAAGAGAAATAACAATAGGTTGCTACAGTGATTAAATTATATTTTCAGAAAAATGTCGCTTTAGCAATGCATCATACAATTGTGAAACATAACACTTGGCTACAAAACAGTAGGTAAAACTGGGGAGAAGGGGTGAGAGGGGCAACAACCATGAGTCCCGTAGTTTATCGAATATGGATCCACTCCTGATAGTCTAATCTGGTAACGTCATTATCCTCGTCATACTCTACTTCCCAATCCCATTCCCACAATGTGTTGTGGCAGCCCTGTGCGCAGGACCCACAGGACTCGCGCTGGCCCTTGAGGCAGTACGGCAGCGTGTACACGCTAAACTTGAGCACAGGATTGACCGACAGCAGGGTCTGGACCGAGTCCTTGTGGCGCCAGTCGTGGGCGCAGCGAGCTGGCAGCCACCTCATTGGGTGCAACTTGAGGTTCCGCAGGACCGGCAGAGTCTCCGGCGTGATGGCCAGCAGCAGCTCATCCGGAGGAACATACACAGTTAATTCGAGGTATCGCAGGCACGGCAGAAAGGGCAGCGTCCTGACCAGCGGCTGCAGCTGAGGGAGGAACTCGACCCCATCGTCGTTCTCTTCGCTCTCGCGCTCGTTCTCGTAGTCGTTGTTGATCTCCAGCACCTCCACGGCGGACCGTCCAGAACACCCCAGGGCCTCGACTAGATCCACCCCGACGTAAGCTGGGCTGCGGGCTGCGGGGCTGTACTTCAGGGTGAGCACGCGGAGCTTGGAGGCGCGCCGCAGCATCTCCGTGGCCCCGAGGACTCCTGGTCGCATGTCAGGCGTCACGTGCAGCGTCACCTTCCTCAGCGACCTGGCCAGGGTCTCCATGCCGGGGAGCAGGGAGCAGGTGAGCACGCGGAGCTTGGGCATAGAGGCGGGCAACAACCCCGTCGAGATCGTGATGTGATCATCATCATCTCCGAGGCGGACCTCCTCCAGAGAAGCCGCGTGCCCCGCCAGCACCAGGTCGACGAAGGGCTGCGACTTTGAGCTGAGAAGGCACTTGAAGTACTTGAGGGACGGCCGGGCCACAGAAGTGTGCATGCTGCCCGCGGAGAGTTCGCCTATCAGATTGAAGCACTCGACATCGAGCTTCTCGACGGACGTCGACGCCAATGCCCCGAGGAGCACGGCGGCGTCGGCCCACGTTGTGTAGAACGTGACCTCGACGATCTTCAGCTGGCCGAGCGCCTCCTGGTTGCGCACGATGAGTGCGGCGGGCACGCCGCCGGCCTCGCCCACTCTCAAGTTGAGTCGACGCACCGCGCACCGGGTCGAGGCGTACAGCGCGAGGTGGTGGTCTGGTGTCGATTTGACGGAGACGGTCATCGAGGCCAGGCGCGGCGCCAGGCGCAGCAGGCGACACATCTTCTTGGGGCCGTCTTTGATGAGGAACTTGTAGTAGGGGCCGTCGAAACTTCGGTGCCGCCACACTGCGGGATGGAGGGCCAGGGCGCCGAACCTCTTGCACACGAGGCGGCACGTGAAGAGGTCGTCCACGCCCACGAGCCGAAACACCTGCAGCACCACGTCGTCCGGGAGCTGCTCCATCGCTAATGCAGACACAAACGATACAAAATTTAGCCACAGACTTGAGGCTTCTGTTTTGTCCGTTCGTAGTAAACCGGTCGTTTCCCTGCCCCCGTCCCCGGCTCGGCTGTTAGAGGCCGTTCATAAAATACGTAAGGGGTTTTAGAGGGGGGGGGGGCGAAGAAAAATTGACAATGATAACAAGGGGCGAGGAAGGGGGAGTTTTATCAGTTAATTTAGTGAAAAACTACGTTTTTAGTGGAAAACGCGTTGTCACAATAAGCATTCCGGGAAAGTTGAAAAGCAAAAGAATGTAAGGAAGAACAAAATGGAAATCATAATGTTTTAACATGGTGAAAAGCTTTCTTTTAAATATCAATATTTTAGCTAGGGGATAAAAACCACGAAAGAGTGGGGGAGAGGGGGGGGGTCGTCCGTCGTCCTCGTTCGAAAAATGACACACATGGCTGACAGAAGAGGGCGGAGGGGTAAATGACCAAAAATCACATACGTAATTAATGCACGGCCCCAACATAAACATTGTGTATATACGCAGAAAATAGTCCCCACTCTCGTATATTGAGTAACACGGCCACACGGCCAAAAATCAATCACTCAATGAATGGCTGCAGTTTTCTGAGGCGCACTGGAAAGTTGCTTTCACAAGTTTAGTGAAGAACATTGTTGACACGTTTGAGAAAATTCTTAGCCCGCTCCCGGCGCTCCCCGGGCTACTCCTTAGTTGAGGCAACTGTTGAGCGGGACCACAACAAAGCACCATAACCTACTCGCGGAACTGGTTTCAAACCGTGATTTTCGTCGTTTATTCTGTATG